ATCGAAACAAGGTCGTTCCAAGTCTCACTCGAAGCTCTTAAAATTATATAAATGTAACACCTTATGTTTGTGACCTTATATTATGCCAAGTTAAGATATTCGGAAGCGCAATTTAAAGTTACCGGGTTGAAAAACCCGAGTTTAAAAATTTCCTTTCCCGCATTACTATTCACTGTAACCTTAAACTTGGCATAACTTTGAAAAATCATAACTAATTCTAGAAAAATCGAAACAAGGTCGTTCCAAGTCTCACTCAAAGCTCTTAACATTATCTATCAAGAAAAAATGACCTCAGATTTCAATTTAATCAGAAACGCATCCGATTTTAATTTCAAAAAGTACTGTTCATTTGGTCATTTTTCTATTTTCCAAGATTTTTTCCTAACTTCGGAAAGGCATAACTTCTTACACAGAGCTCCGATTATGACGCTTTACCACTCATTTTAAAGGGAAAAATAAGATCTATTTGAATGCTAAATTTTAGGGAAAATTTCAACTATTTGACTAGGGTCTTCGTTGGTCAAAGTTTGGTCAAATCTAGATCACTTTTATCCCCCTTTTTCACTAATTCCAGCACCATTTCGTTTTTCACTATAAGCATACCATAATCACATATAAAGGTACTCTACCATTAATATACATTCAAAAAGGCTATCATATCATGCATTCAAGATCAGAATATGCTTACATGGCTTGAAAGAGAAAGGTTTAAAACCATATAATACAATACATAACTCATAACTTCCTCAAGCCATGATTATTTCTTTTCCCTTCTCCTTGGAAGTAGTGGCACCTAGGATATCATGTTATAGGAGGAATGAGATTTCATAGAAATCCCAGTAGCATTGAACATACAATCATCAAGTCAACATGCATAAGATGTCATGCTACATGCAGTAAAATAACATTGCTAGTCTTTATGCCATGCCATAACCATTCTGTATCCATGTCATCATATCATGGAGCATATAATCATTCTGGTCAAAACTCAATCATGCAAGAGTCAAGGCATACATTGCAAGGAGTTCACATCATCTGTACATAAACATTCTCATGGCACATAAACACACATAGCAGAAACACCAAATGCAGGTCAACAAAATAATTGCAAGTTCACGCTACCTTGGTTCCACGCTTACTGTTTCCTCCTTGTTTTCTTGCTTGAGGTCCTCCTAGGTTTCCAGAAAATTGCCTATCAACCATACGGTAAGGGTATGGTAAATTCCATATCCAGTATACAATTCTTTCTCAATATAAGACTACCCTTGTGCCTTTCAATTTATAATTTCTGTATACCTTTCCTAATCCTTTGACTTTGGTTTGACCAAGCCTTAATCCATGATTAATCATGTTTTCTTGGTTAATCATTAACCCTTAATCCTTAATCCAATATTTAATTAAGGTCCTCAAGTCACATAGTCATTAGTACAACATAATCTTCTAAGATTAAGTCACTAATCCCTTATGGATTAATCTATTAATCATTCTCTAATCAGCATGATTAACCTTTAATCATTCCTTAATCAACATGATTAATCATAATTAATCATCCTTCAATTAGCATAACTAATCACTAATTACTAATTAATCAGGGTAGCTAACCTTAATTACTTACTAATCTTTAATCAAATAACATGATTAATCTTAGCTATTACTAAACCATAATTAATCAAGGTAATTAATCCTAATCTTCCTCAAATAAATAATTAACTAAAAATAATTAACACTTAGGGAGGTAAACGTACCTTAATTAGCTCTTAATCAGCGATTAGAGGTGTCTAACTTTGCTTTCTCCCTTTCTCTCTCTTCTTTCTTCCTTTCTCTCTCCTAGAACTCAAGAACACAACATTCCCTCACTAGCAAACCTCTTTGGCCGAATTGTTCATGAGACCAGGGTTTTTATAGGCTTTGATTTTTCAAAATTCCAAAAATGCCCTTCGGGAAAAAGATGCGATCTCAGCCGTCCATTTTTTTCCACTTTACACATGGACAAATCCTAGAGCACACACCACAAGCAGTTGACACATGGATGGACACCTATTCACCATGTGATTTTCATGTGGAAATAAAATATTATTTTAATGTTTTGTCTCTTATTTCCCTTTATGCCCTTAAACAATTTGGAAAATTCCAACTTTGTCCTCCCCCTTTATTTTTGGCCGAAATATTACTCTAAATATAGGGAGAAAAATGACTCATCCAATATTCAGTGCAATCCACTGATTATTTGTGTATTTTCGGTCCGATTTTCCAACAATCCTGTCCAATTTACTGTCACAAAATTTTGATTTCAACACCTCCTTAAATTCCCCTCATTCCAAGGGTATTCCATGATTTTTCTCAAGTTTTACCTCCCTCTATAATTTTCTAAATTTTATTTTGTCAAAAATCAATATTCTACTGATAATAATTCGGTAATAAATATTCTTTAAGCTAACCTCTGTACATCCAAAGGTGGGAAGTAATTTTATAAATTAGGATAATATGTCACATAATTTATCCCTATTTTTCCTTGAATTTTTTAGGCCTTTATATATTTTAAATAATGGAAATTGGCTAATTTTCCTTAATTAACCAAAAATTCTGATAATTACAAATAATTCTCTGATAAATTATTTTTAATCCTATATTCACCTTCTAAGCCTCAAACATTATTCTGTACCCTCCTTTCTATTTTTCATGATTTTTTGGGTATTTTTAGGAATTTCGGACATTATTTCCAATACTGCCCTTTTTGACTGATCTTTTCAAAAATGACCATTATGTCCCTATCTGATTTTTGCTCATAGCCTGGATCCTCTACCAGTCTACTATACTATTTGGCCTTAGTCAGTCTCAAATCATTCATCAATTAGGATAAAATTATCAGGGTGTGACAGTATGGGCACCACGAGTTCTTGGTAATGCCTATCGGATTAACGAATGCCCCTGTAATTTTCATGGATTACATGAATAGGATTTTTAGCCATATCTAGATCAATTTGTAGTGGTTTTCATTGATCATATCTTAGTATAATCCAAGTCACTAGCAGAACACGAACAACATTTATAGATCGTCCTAAGTATTTTGAAGGAAAAATAGCTATATGCCAAACTCAGCAAGTGTGAGTTTTGGCTGAATAAAGTAAAGTTTTTGCGTCATGTGATTACCCAAGATGGAGTAGCAGTAGATCCCAATAAGGTGGAAGCAGTTCTAAACTGGGAGCAACCAAAAACAGTAACAGAAATACGAAGCTTTCTGGGATTGGCAGGTTACTATAGAAGATTTATTAAAGATTTTTCAAGAATTGCATAGCCCCTCACTAAACTTACATGTAAGAACCAGCAATTTGTGTGGGATGATAAATGTGAGGCTAGCTTCCAAGAGTTAAAAGGAAGGCTGACCTCGACCCCTGTGTTGATAATTCCTAATCCAACCCTACCATATGTTGTATATATCGATGCTAGCAAGCAAGGATTGGGGTGTGTATTAATGCAGCAAGGATGAGTAGTCGCCTACGCTTCACGACAGTTAAAATCTCATGAAGAGAATTATCCCACTCATGACTTAGAATTAGCTGTAATAGTTTATGCCTTAAAAATTTGGAGTCATTATCTATATGGGGCAACCCTTGAACTATACTGTCACCATAAAAGTCTCAAGTACTTGCAAGATAAAAAAGAACTAAACATGAGACAACGGCGATAGATGGAGTTGCTCAAGGATTATGATTACCAAATAAAATACCATCCAGGTAAGGCTAACGTTGTAGCTGACGCCTTGAGCCAAAAGTAGTACAAGTAGCGTTCCTAATGATTCAGGAACGGAAACTCATCGAAGATGTCAGAGATTGGGAAACTTTGTTCCATATGAAACTAATGATCCAGAAAGTATAAGTGATAAGAGCAAAAGCCCAGCTGATAGAACAAATCAGAGAGGCCCAAAAGAGTGATCCGATAGCCAATACACTTTGGATTAAGCTAACAAAAGCTGAGGATGATGTGATCGAGGTGTCATCAGATGGAATATTGAAGTATAAGGAACAGGTATATGTTCTGGAGTCTATCAGGCAACAGCTATTGGAGGAAGCACATAAGAGCAAATATACGATACATCCGGGAATGACAAAGATGTACCAAGACCTCTGACGTATGTTTTGGTGGCTTGGCATGAAGAAGGACATAACAGAGTATGTATCTAATACCTCACTTGTCAAAAGGTCAAAACAGAGCATCAGAGACCGTAAGGGCTTTTACATCCTCTAAATATTCTGGAATGGAAATAGGATAGTATCTCCATGGATTTCATCATGGGGTTACCTCGTACCTTATCTGGATATGACGCAATATGGGTGATTATTGACTGATTAACGAAGTCTACCTATTTTTTGGCAATAAAGAAAGATTACGAACAAAAAAAACTTACCATGTTATATATCAAAGAAATTGTGAGATTACATGTAGTGCTAGAGTTGATTGTATCCGACTGAGATCCTCGGTTTCTATCCTGATTCTGGAAGGCACTGCAGCAAGCAATGGGCAGCAAGCTGAGCTTCAGTTTAGCGTATCACCCACAGACGGATGGTCAGACAAAGCGAACCATATAAACACTGGAAGATATGTTGAGAGCCTATGTGTTAGATTTCAAAGGTGACTGGTATAACTATCTTCCATTAGCAGAATTTGCTTACAATAACAGTTATCACTCCAGTATACAGATGGCTCTGTATGAAGCTTTGTATTGTTACAAGTGTAGATCCCCACTATGTTGGACAGAATTAGGGGAGCGAAAGCTATATGGGCCAGACTTAGTCGAGCAAACAACTGAGAGGATAAGGTCGATTAGACAGAAACTGCTCACGGCCCAAAGCAGACAGAAAAGTCATGCGGACGTTTGGTGAAAGTCTTTGACCTTCGATATAGGAGACCATGTGTTCTTGAAAGTGTCTCCGATAACGGGAGTAGGAAGGTCTTTTAAATCGAAGAAGTTGTCACCAAAATACATCGAACCTTTCCGAATTATGTCAAAGGTGGGACCGGTGGCATATAAAGTAACCCTACCCCCGAACCTTAGTCAGATACATGATATCTTCCATGTATCCCAGCTAAAGAAGTATCAACCAAATCCCTTTCATGCTTTGGAATATGAAGATATAGCACTGCGAGATGACCTAACTTGGGAGATCAAACTAGTAAATATCATTGATTATCCAGTAAAGCAGCTGCGGCAGAAATCCATCCCAATGGTCAAAGTCATCTGGGAGAATCTGGCACAAGAAGAAGCAACCTGGGAGAAGGAAGACGACATGAAGGATAATTATCCCGAACTCTTCGAATAAGGTATATTTTAAATTTCGAGGACGAAATCTTTTTTAAGGGGGAGGGAAATGTAACATCCCAAAATTTGAAACCTTGGTAATGGGAATGTGAGAAATAAGACATGATTGATAAGCATAAGGTGTGAGTAAAGCATGAAAACCCATAATGGGATGAAACCGACTTTATAGGGTCCCTAGGGGCAAAATAGTAATTTTGTGAAAAGTTCTCAAAAATTCCCTAAAAATAGGAAAAGGTGGAATTAGGGGTTTTTGAGTCACCTATGATGTTTTGGGAGTGAGAATGGCCCAAAATAAATTGTGGTGAAAATTCCTAAAAAAATAATTATTTCTGGGCAAATAAGGAAAAATAAAAGGGAATTAAAGTGATATAATTATTTTAATTACCTAAGGACTCCAAATATTCAAGGAAAAATATGGATACACTCTCTAGGAATATATATGAATTAATAAAATTATTTCCATGCATTGGAAATGCAGGAAATAATTTATGGGGAATTTACTTCTGAATTCCTATCGGTAAAGACCTGATTTCGGAGAAAATATGAAATATATACCTAGAGGTCTTGAAAAATTCCCAAAACTTCCAAATCACACTTTTGGAATAAATAGGAATTTATCACGAAAAGAAATAGAATTTTTGAAGCCCTTAGCTATTTTTCCTAATAGCGGGCAAGAAATTAGGTATTATGTGACCAAATAATTTTTAAAATTACCCTAACCAATTCCATTGCTTCCTAATCAGTTTTTACCATTTAGTTAGCATCCAAAAAGGCCCAAATTAGTGCCCATCATGACCAGAACAACTAGCTTGTGTGCTGGGCAAATTTTCAACCATTGGATCAACTCTCTTGGAATTTGAGTCAAAGCATATGTGGCTAGGATTGCCCTCTCATTTTGGCCAACCTATGCACTTAATTTTGGAGCAGAAATAGCTGCCCAAGGGCAGGTTTTGGGGCAGCAAATGAGGTCTATAAATACCCCCATAATTCACCCAAAATTCGTGCAAAAATCTGGAAAAATAGGGGAGGTTCTGCACAAATTTTTCTTGACTTTCAAACACCCTTCAAATCACTTCCAATCCAAGGCTAATCATTAAGCTTTAATCAAAGACTCCTTAAGGGATGTTTAGGCTTTAACTTGATGCATTTTCAATTGCCAAATCGTGACTTAAATTGAGGAGGAAGTACTGTCCATTTTTGTTATGCTGGAAGTTCTAGGACAGGATACCAAATTGAGTATGAGCTTCTGTTGTTGATGTTTGGTGCTGTTTTGAATGGGTTATGGAAGAAATTACCCTAGGAGCTATGACTATTCAGTTTGGCCAACTCAAGAACTTAAGGGTAGGAATTGTTTCAATAAGTTTTAATGGTTCCAATGGATTTAAAATGTGATTTTGTGTAGGATTATGCTATGAAAGTATGTTTAAATTCATTGGAATCAAATGTGGAAATTCATGAACCTAAGGGGAGGTGTTCGGCCATCTTAAATTCATGAAATTATGATTAGATTTTGATGGTTTTGATGCTTCCATTGAATTCTTTGGGTGTTTTTGTGTAGGGTTATGTGGAGAAATTGAACTTGGAAGCATTAAAAAACAATGTTGGAAATTTTGACATCTTCCCTTGTAAAAATTCATTTTTGTTTTGATCAGAACTTAAGGAAGGGATTTGATTTTGTAAAATTTGATTTGATATTTGAATTCTACATGAAAAATAATGTAGATATGGCCAAGGAGGTTTCTTGAATCAAAAGGAAAACAATTAGACCAAAAATCCAAAGAAAAAGGGTTAATGTTTAAGTAATGTGGAATGTGTTTGAATAATTGTTGAATGATTGGCATTGGTGTTGGTTTGATAGGTACCTTGCCAAATCCTCAAGAAAACATCTTGAACTTAAAGGAAATCAAGGACCAAGTACCCAAAGGTAGTATTGAATTACATTTGATTGCGTTCTTGCTGACATTGATGTTTTAATGTGTATGTGTGCAATGTGTGCCATGATGTGACTAAGCTTTATTGCAAATGTTGATTGCAATGTTTGAATTATGTTACCTTGGCATTATGTCCACTAAATATGTGTATGATAGCTTACTTTCCATGGCATAAAAGCTTGAACACATAAACAAGATAAATGCACAAAAGCATTGCACGTAGTGTTTGCACGAATGCATGATAATTGTGATTTTGTGCTACTGGGATTTCTTTGAAATCTCACTCTTATGTTTAACACCATCTAGGAGGAAGTTCAAGTAAGGGCAAAGGCAAAGAATTTGTCCCAGAGGCCTAATGAAAAGTTAATGTACCCTAGTGTAAATTTTGGAACTTGTTATGAAATATTATGACTTTGAAAATGTTTGTTGGATAATAGCTCCTAATGGGAGCCAAACATGTATGCCTATGTTTAAACATGTTAAGGTATAGTAGACTGTATGTTCAAGCATGTGTTAAGTCTCACATGATTAAGAATAGGTAAAAGGTTAAGAAAGAACCAAAACAAGTATAGTTGGGGAATGAACTTCCCCTAGAAAGGATCAAACTTGGTACATACAAAAGAAATAGCAAATGTTTGAATCTGGACTTGAAATTTAGCAGACTTATAGATCACATTTTTGTCTTTAAATCAAGTGGTAGATCATTGAATTTGGAATTTTGTGCAAAGAGTTATGCCCTTCCAAACTTGGATAAAAATACTGAAAATTTCAGAATTCACCAAATGAATAGTGCATAATTGCATGGAAACTGGCATTGATCTGTGAGAAATTGGTACCTATGAATATTTTTCCTTTGTAGAGCATTTTGTAAGCTTTACGTGAGACTTGTAACCACTCTATTTTGATTTTTTCTACATTTAGTTATGATTTTTTCAAAGTTGACCCGATTTTTAGGGGTTAGATAAATAGTAACTGAAATCAAAATTTTAAATCTTAGATTTTACCTACTTTGAACATCGTGTAACGATTCCGAATGGTTTGAAATGACGTATAATGGGGTTTAAAATGAAGGTGTGACATAGTGGATCCTAAATGTAGTAGGAAGCTTCACTCCTAGGCTTCTGAATCTGGAAAGTAGTCAGGTGAGAAGGGATTAGACCAGTAGCAAGGTAGTTCACTAAATGAACAAACCATGATGAAGAAATAGACAATGCACATAGAGATTGGTCAAGGACTAAGTCACAGATAACATCAGAATCCAATACTTCCCTCGTCTGTAGTGGTAGCCTACTCAAGTGATCTGCTATATGGTTAACATTACCATCTCTATCTTTCACTTCCACATCAAATTCTTGAAGTAACAACATCCACCTTAAGAGTCTTGGCCTCGATTGAGATTTTTGGAATAGATACTTTACTGTTGCATGATCTGTAAACACAACCACCTTAAAATTTATTAGGTAAGGTCTAAACTTATCCAGTTCAAAGACAATTGCAAACAATTCACTTTCAGTAGTGGTGTAGTTTCTTTGAGCTGTGTTTAGAGTTTTAAAGGCATAAGCAATTACTTTAGAAATAGAATTATCCCTTTGACCCAACATTGGCCCCACATTTAGATTTAAAGCATCACAAGAAATTTCAAAAGGAAATTCCCAATTGGGAGAGGTCAAAATAGGAGGGTTAACTAGCCTTTTCCTCAACTCATCGAAAGCTAGCTCACATTCATGATCAAATTGAAAATCAACATCCTTTTGCAACACTTTCGAAAGAGGTAAAGCAATTTTATGGAAATCCTTGATGAATCTTCTATAAAACCCTATATGTCCTAAAAAGGATCTCAACTCTTTCAAGTTGGTAGGATAGGGTAAAGAAGAAATCACCTCAATTTTGGCTTTATCTACCTCTATTCCTTTATTAGAAGTCAAATGTCCTAGCACAATGCCATAATTAACCATGAAATGGAATTTTTCGTAATTCAAAACAAGCTTTTTCTCAATACATCGTGCTAGAATTTTGTCAAGACTTTGTAAACACTCATCAAAAGAATTGCCATAGACAGTAAAATCATCCATGCACATATCCATGATTTTTCAATGAACTCAGCAAAAATGGATACAATACATCATTGGAATGTGCCAGGTGCATTACAAAGACTAAAAGGCATTCTTTTATAAGCATAGGTTATGAATGGATAAGTGAAAGTAGTCTTATCTTGGTCTCTAGGGTCTATAGGGTTTTGGAAATAGATGGAATACCTATCTAGAAAACAGTAGTGACTCTTCCTTGCTAATCGTTCAAGCATTTGATCAATAAAAGGTAAGGAAAAGTGGTCTTTCCTAGTAGCCTCATTCAGCTTCCTATAATTAATGTAAACTCTCTATGAGTTTTGCACCTAGTTAGGGTGAGTTCAATGTTCTCATTTTTTCCTATTATGATCCCACTCTTCTTATTCACGACTTGTACTGGTGACACCACTCGCTGTCAGAAATAGTGTATATAATTCCAGCCCTCAAAAGTTTGTTTACCTCCTTTCTAACCACATTAGAGATTAGAGGACTCAGTCTCCTCTGGTTTTGTTTAATTGGCTTGGAACCCTCAATCAATAGAATTCTATGGGTGTAAACAGTAGAATCAATTCCCTTAATATCAACTAATTGCCAACCTAAAGCCTTCCTATTTTTTCTAAGTACGCTTATCAAACTAGACTTTTCACTTTCAACTAAAGAACTAGAAATTATAGTAGGCAATTTACTTTCATCATCAAGATAAGCATACTTATAATTGGGGGTAACTCTTTAAGTTCTAAAGTTGGGGGCTAGACAATCGAGGAAATTAGAGTAGGAAAATCAATAGAGTGAGAGAAACTCCCCTTTGTTGACTCTTGAGAAGTGCACTTGTCAACCTCATTTAGATTTATTAATCTTGCCTCAGTTCCCTCAAATGTTGCACCAAGCTCAAGTTGGTCTACAGTAACAAGAAACTTGGGTTGGCTCACCTCCATACCTAAACCATTATTTGAGATTAGATCATTCAAGAATAGTAAAGTATGGGGTGCAGTTTTAGAGTGTGA